CTCTCTCCTTCCTTTCGTCTCCAAAGTCAATAAAAATACATCTTTAATAAAAATAATAAAGACACACGCAGGCCCTCCCCACACAGCCCTCCCCACGCGGGGCATCTGGTCCCACTGAGGGGAGGGGGGCCACTGCAGAGGGGGGGCTGAGGGCGACGGGTGGGGACCATCCCCTGGGGCTGGGGAGGAAATTGCCCACATGGGAGGGAACTAGAGCAGAGGCGGGGCTCAGGCAGCAATAAAAGGTGCCAGCGCCTTGGCAGTGGGACCCGCAATGCCGCCAACCAGAGCAGCCACTGCCATGGGAACCGTGGTCCTGGCCCTCGTCCTCCTGGGCACTGCAGCCGCCACGGCCGACAACTGTCCAGGTGAGCCAGGCGCCAGGCGGGCTGCCCTGACGAAGGTCCCAGAGCCTAGAGCCTCCGCATGGACCACTGCCTGCCCCCTGCCGGGTCCTTCCAGAACATTCTTCTTCAGACTGAGGCTGACTCATCCTCTGCAGGGGCACCTGCCTCGGGGTCCTCCCTCGGAGGGCACAGGTGGTGTGAGCTGGAGAGTGCACCCTCCCCCAGCCCGGGTCAGTGCAAGGTCGCACCCAGTACTGGGGGCCTTGAGCCTTGGGGGACAGGCGGCCCCACTGCTCCCCGAGGTGGCACGGGAAGAGGGCAAGGGTCCCAGGGTCCCCACGGGCCTCGATCTCCTTTCCTGTCCCAGGAGCTCTCCAGGGGGCTCCACCCCACCCTCCGTAGTCTCTGGCTGTGGGCGGGGCTGGGACCGGGGACCAGGTGGGGCATGTGAGGAGGTGGGAGAGAGCATGACCCCTGTGACCGGAGAAAGGCCGGTGAGTCAGGAGGAAGGACACACGGGCCTCACGGGGACCATCACACTGAGTCCATGTTCTCCCCTCAGGGCGTCCTATTTTCTTTATTTAAAACAGGGGTCCTCAAACTATGGCCCCCGGGCCACATGCACCAGCCGAAAACATTTATCTTGCCCGCTGGGTGTTTTTGCTGACGCTGCCTTTTGCTTAGCAACCGACTAGTTTTTTTTAAAACTATAGTCCGGCCCTCCAACCGTCTGAGAGACAGTGAACTGGCCCCTTATTTAAAAAGTTTGAGGACCCCTGATTTAAAACAAAAGGATCTTTTACAATTTATTCATTTGCCAGAGAGAGAGGGAGGGAGAGACGTGGATTTGCTGTCCCGTTGCTCGCGCCCTGATGGGGATCCGCCCACAGTCTCAGCACCTGGATGGCGCTCTGACCGGCCAGGCCCCACCAGGGCCCTCATTGTCCCCGACCCCCAGGTGCCCTGTTGTTAATGAGCAGAAATTCAGCGAATGCAGAAGTGAGGTCCCCATTGGCTCCGCCCAGGGAGGACCTGCAGAGGAGAGGCCCGCGGACCATGTGACCCAAAGGGGACCCCGGGAGGAGGTGTGTTTCTGGGTCCCCACACCCTCCCTAGAGGCCGTGTATTTGTGAT